AAAGAAACTGCCGAGGATGCATTGAGAGTTGCAAGTCGTCATGGATTTAACACAGAGCTAGACTCCCTTCGAGAGCGAATCGCTTATCTCCATCAGTCGTGCGAAGACAAGCGGTACAAAGAGAGAATTATCCTGCTCGATGACAGTGATGCTGAAACCTCTGGCAAAAACGCCAGCTGTGAAACAAGCGGCAGTGAAACGGAAAAGGAATTGACTGATTGTTGATAATATTCTTCGTCCAGCTATGAGACAAGTTCAGGTAAACATGAGCTAAATTCACTGCACAATTGCAGCGCAAATGGATCTGTTTAAATCATTGCACGTGATCCAAGTAAGCGTCATGCGATCGTGTGTTGCGTCTGACTGCCTTGTCCGGCAGCTTTTAAAAGCCATTTCCATTAAACCCGACTAGAGGCCAGTATAACGCTGGCGTTAAGCGCCAACACGGCTGAGTTTTCTGGAACAGAATTTACTCTATCAAATCCGTCCACAAACGTAAACATTACAGCCTCGTAGATTTAAAAAATTTTTGGATTTTTGAAAATGTTGAGTGTATGTAAACCTGACGATATCAAATATAATGCAAATAAGCCGTCAACTAAACATGAAAACTTCCACTTTCTATCAGTATCACTGAACGAAACCGAAAGTGGATGGACAAGTGAAACTAATAAATTCGTCAAGATGACACGCCTTTAAGAAAGGGAACTCCCCTCTCAAACTTTCGAAAGATCTCAATTTGCATACATGCAGAGGATACTATGCATGAATATTTTATTTCCTCAGATTGTAAGTTTTCACTAAGCCGGAAATGTCGACGTTTTGCATTACTGAGGAAGGATTTCAACGTTGTCTGCGTACAGTGAAGAATATTTCGAACTCCCGTTTTAAGACCTGTGAAAGGTTTTCTCCGTCGAAATACATGCCAAAAATACTTTGGCATTAATTCAAAACAATTACACAGACGTCTAAAATAGAACCAAACGAAATAGACCACTTTCGATATATTAAAATTCAGCTTGGCAGTGAGGCTTAGAGGACACAAACAAAGGAAATTGAATGACCATGTTTATTCATTTCTTTTGTTCGTGTCCTTTAGACCTCACTATCAAGCTGAATTTTAATATATCGAAAGTGGCTTATTGAGTCACGACGGCGACCACGAAAACATTAAAGAGGCATTATCTTCACATGAACAACGATGACGAACCTTTACAAACAGAAAGCAATGGAGTATTCCTCAGTCCACAGCACAGAGGTACCGTTACAGCAACCTATGCCTGGCGGACATCGCTTTTCTGGTGATCTCGAAAACACATCACGGCGACTTACTCCAGACAATTCAAATTCGTTTACCGCCGAAGCAAACTTTGACACACCAAAGAAGACGTTGAACGTAATTGTCAAGAACTGGAATGCCGTTTTAGTTGGCCAGTCAAACACCGCACAACTTGACTGTAATTATCATCTGGACAATAAGCACAATCCTGAACGCAAACATTCCTGGCAAGAAGAACCTCTTCCCGACAGCGGTCCAAAGGTCGAAGAAGATTCGAGTAAACAACAGAAAGCGAAACTACAACACCAATTGAAACCTTTTCAAGACACACAGAACACCAAATTGGCTATGTCGGGTGAGATTGTGGTGGATGTCGAGCCAGTGATTCCTTTAATTAAAATACAAGGTCATCTTCACGGATCGACATGCGAAAAAATTATGGAGCAACTTGCACATTTGCAAGACAATGGACAGTTTGAAAAACATGATCGATTGGTTGCTACACACCTAAAAGGTTCCACTTGCAAAGAAAATACTGACATGGAATTGGCCCTGAAAATTGAGCGAGGAGTGGCATTTTCTTACCAGAAAGAATTCAAACAAAGCAAGCGCCTCTTCCTCTCAGTCATAAACACTGATACCGTTACTCAGCTAATAAATCCGAACATTTTATTAGCAAGAGCCTACTATCGACTAGTACAAGACAACAGATACAAAAGCAATATGAAACTATCCAGTCTTTTTCATTACCTGGAAAAAAGCGAGTATTTACTGCAAAACCACGATTCCCCCGAGGACTGGTCCAGGGTGTATTACAACTATGGCTCTCTTTGGTTGGCGTACATGAGCACGATCCCGGATGACGAACGACATGCGCAAGCGCGAAATGACGCACGAAGAAAGGCGAGATGTTACTTCGAAAAGACAATTGAATGCTGCAAGAAAGATCCCAGATTGAGAGTGCAGATTAAACAACAGATATATGGTCACCTACGAGTGGCAGCGCTATTACTTGATTGCACCTCGACGGTGGCTCGTATTCGAAAAAAAGTCATTCCCCCACAAGATATCGAAGATGCTATAAAACACTTGGATATTCTGGAGCGCCAACTTGGCAGCAACATTCCTCGAGGTACCCGCGTGCAGATATTCAAGACGCGTTCTGACCAATACTATCGTCAAGGATTGTATCAACTGGCCAAAGAAACTGCCCAAGATGCACTGAGAGTTGCAAGTCGTCATGGATTTAACACAGAGCTAGACTCCCTTCAAGAGCGAATCGATTTTCTCCATCAGTTGTGCGAAGACATGGCGTACAAAGAAAGAATTATCCTGGTCGATGACAGTGATGCTGAAACCTCTGGTAACAACGCCAGCTGTGAAAAAAGCGGCAGTGAAACGGAAAAGGAATAAAAAAAAAAAGCCAGGCCTTAACAGTTTAAACATTATGCTTGAGGTCACTCAATCTACGTCACTAAGCTGCCTTGAGAAAACTTCGCCGCAGCCGAACATGTGACGCACTAATAGATCAAGAAACAATAATTCCATGTTATTCGAATTTTGCGTTTACTGGGAAGGAAACAATGCATTGTATTGAATACTTTAGACTTTTTCCAACAGAATATACAGATTTTCATAACAGCAGCAACTGCACTTACGAGAAATTGTCCACTCGTTACGTGGTCTTTCTGTGTAACCAAGAACATTTTTGGCGAGTGTGTTCAGCAAGAAACATGAAGTCACAGATGGGGTGCTAACTTAAAGCCTTGCAAAACGTTTTCCCTTTTGCCTCTGAATGCCAAATTCATTGGCATTCAGAAGTATTGTTATGGGTGCGAATTTATCTATGTCACTCGATCATTTCCAGTTAATTTTGCAGCAAATCCACTGACAGTGTACATCACTTTATCATTTGAAAATTGGCAGATTTGCCGTTGGATCTCTGATGCGAATAATAAAATAATGGACTTTGTTTTCCAAGTCCGCTACCTCTGCTACCCTTAACTTGTATACGTTTAAATCTGTTTAAACCTTCGCCACCTTCTGGTGATCTGAAACGAAATGAAGTGGCCAATAATTTATGTCCTGAACTAGATAACCTTTAGGGGTATTTTATGCGTAGTGTTTAGTAGCGTGTAACCTGTCATGAAAGTTCCAATTTAATTGTGTGACAGTTTATCCTATTTTTAAGTTGCGTGATTTAGGGAAT